CTGTACAATACTTAGTATTTGAGCGAAACAGATTTGATGGAATGTCAATATTCTTTGGAAACATAATGCCTCAGATACAATAGTATCACAGTTTTATGGCAATTAAAGTGGTTCTCTTGTGCCAGGATCAGCAGTTCTTATACCAGGCTGATAATCAGAATCCCCTAAAGAGCTTTTTTTTTTTTCTTCTGAGATGAGGTCTCGCTTTATTGCCCAGGCTGGCGTGCAGTGGTGTGAACTTGGCTCACTGCAACCTCTGCCTCTCGGATTCATGAGATTCTCCTGCCTCAGCCTCCAAAGTAGCTGGGACCACAGGCATATGCCACCATGCCCGTCTAATGTTTGTATGTTTAGTAGAGATTGATGTTCTTCCATGTTGGCCAGGCTGGTCTGAAACTCCCGGACTCAAGTGATCTGCCTGCCTCAGACTCCCAAAGTGCTGAAAGTACAGGCATGAGCCACCACCCCTGACTGGTTATGAAAACATTGTAAACACCCTCCCAGACATAGCCATTATATGCGGAACAATTGAAAAGAATTTACTGTGAATACTCATATGCCCACTCCCTAGAATTCACCATTAATTTTTACTATACTTGTGTTGTCACATATCTATTCATCTGTCATTCTGGTATTCATCAATCAATCTTATTTTTTGATTCATTTCAAAATAAATGGAGAGGCTCACACCTGTAATCCCAGCACTTTGGGAGGCCAAGGCAAGTAGGTCATTTGAGGTTAGGAGTTCAAGACCAGCCTGGCCAACACGGTGAAACCCCATGTCTACTAAAAATACAAAAATTAGCTAGGTGTGGTGGCTCATGCCTGTAATCCAGCTACTTGGGAGGCTGAGGCAGGAGAATCGCTTGAACCCAGGAGGCGGAGGTTGCAGTGAGCCAAGATAGTGCCCCTGCACTCCAGCCTGGACAACAGAACAATACTCCGTCTGAAATAAATAAACAAACAAGTGGAGATATCAATACATGTCACATCAAGAACAGCAAGATTCTGTCTCAAATAAATAAATAAATAAATAAGTGGAGAGATAAATACATGTCACCCCAAGTACTTCATATCGCTAATGATTTTGGCATGTGTGCAGCTAAAATGTATAAATAGTTGATAGCTGAATAGATAGGTAGATAGAACAGCAGAACTACATTACTAAAGACATGGAGAATTTTATTCAAAAAGAGATTAGAGTAGTAGTAGATAAACTAAAGAATGACATGTGAAATACAAAATACTAATTTTTGAAGAAATAGAGGAAATGAGTAGGTGGTGGATGCAATTTTGGAGTCATCAGCCACTAGATGACATTAGCAATCGTGAGTCTGGATGAAGTCATCAAAGCAATGTGCACAGTGGAGGAGAGAAGGTGCCTGAGCTCTGAGCCCTGGGCTAGTCCAACCTCAGAGGATGCAGAGAAGAAGAATAAATGAGGTGAAGAAGGAGCAGCCAGTGAGGTGGGAGGAAGATCTTAGAAATCAAGTGAAGGAAACATATCAAGGAAGAGGGAGTGTCAATGTCAATTAAGATGAGGAGTGAAGTAATCCCATCACTCTGAGAGGCTGAGATGGGAGGGTCGCTTGAGCCTGGTAGTTCAAGACCAGCCTGGGCAACATAGTAAGACCCTGTCTCTACTATGTTGAGTACATAAATAGATAGGTGTACATAAAAGTACATAAATAGATAGATGAGGTGTAAGAATGAACCACTGGATTTAGAAATCAAGTGTCCATTTGATGGTTGATGACTGTGGTTTTCATGGAGTGGGAGGGACAAAAGTCTGTCTGGGACATATTTAGGAGTGTTTAGGCCTGGAGTGGTGGCTCATGCCTGTAATCCCAGCACTTTGGGAAGCCGAGGCTGGTAGATCACCTGAGGTCAGGAGTTCTATACCAGCCTGGCCAACATGGTGAAACCCCATCACTACTAAAAATACAAAACATTCCCTGGGTATGGTGGTGAGTGCCTGTAATCCCAGCTACTTGGGAGGATGAGGCAGGAGAATTGCTTGAACCTGGGAGGTAGAGGTTGCAGTGAGCTGAGATTGTGCTATTGCACTCCAGCCTGGGCAACAGAGAAAAAGAAGTATCTAGAGCAACTTGTCCAATCTGTGGCCCATGGGCCGCCTGTGGCTCAGAACAGCTTTGAATGTGGCCCAGTATAAATTTGTAAACTTTCTTAAGACATTATTTGTGATTTTTTTTTTTTTTTAAAGAGATAGGGTTTCTCCATGTTGGCCAGGCTGGTCTCGAACTCCTGACCTCAGGTGATCTGCCCACCTCAACCTCCCAACGTGCTGGGATTACTGGCGTGAGCCACCGCGAAAGGCCTGCAATTTTTTTTTTTAACCTTATTAGCCATTGTGAGTGTTAATGTATTTTATGTGTGACCCAAGACAATTCTTCCAATGTGGCTCAGGGAAGCCAAAAGTTTGGACACCCCTGATTCCTGATTCTAGAGAAAAGAAAGTGTATTTATTTAAAACATTTTGATTCACAAATGAAAAATTATGTATATTAACGGTATAAAATGTGATGTTTTGATACAGGAATACCTTGCGAAGTGATTGGATTAAGCTAATTAACAGACCTATCACCTTACATACTCTCCATGTTTTGTGATGAGAACATTTAAAATCTATTCTCTTAGCAATTTTCCGGTATTTAATACATTAACTACAATCACCATCCTCTATGGTAGATCTCTAGAACTTATTCAAAGGAGGAAAGTAGGCTGAGCATGGTGGCTTACACCTGTAATCCCAGCACTTTGGGAGGCTGAGGCAGGTGGCTCACTTCCTCAGGAGTTTGAGACCAGCCTGGGCAACATGGTGAGACCCCTTCTCTGCTAAAAATAAAAATTTAAAAATTAGCTGGGTGTGGTGGTACACACCTGTAATCCCAGCTACTTGGGAGGCTGCGCTGGGAGGATCACTTGAGCCTGGGAGGTGGAGGTTACAGTCAGCTGGGATTGTACCACTGCGTTCCATCCTGGGCAAGAGAGCCAAACCCTGTCTCAGAGAAAAAAAAAAAAGGGAGGAAAGTCAGCTTAACTCTTTTGAGGAGTATTTCTGTAAATAGAACAAGAAAATGGCACAGTATTTGGTGGGGAAATTTGTTTCAAGAGGGGTGTGTGTGTGTGTGTGTGTGTGTGTGTGTGTGTGTTGAGATGGTGCCTTGCTCTGTCACCCAGGCTGGAGTGCAATGGCACAATCTTGGCTCTCTGATCCTCTGCCTCCCAGGTTCAAGCAGTTCTCCTGCCCCAGCCTCCTGAGTAGCTGGGATTACAGGCACATGCCATGATGCCCTGTTTTGATACATTTTTAGTAGAGACAGGGTTTCACCATGTTGGCCAGGCTGGTCTTGAACCGCTGACCTCAAGTGATCCTCCCGCCTTGGCCTCCCAAAGTGCTGGGATTACAGGTATGAGCCACCGTGCCTGGCCTTTGTTTTGTGTTAAAGATAGGAAATAAGGCCTGTCTGTTTGGTGATAGCCATGATCTAGCAGTGAAGAAGAGAATGGTGATGCAGGTGTGAGGGTAGAATAACTGAGTGATTTCCTCGCATGGGTAAGATGGGGCGGGCTCTAGTACATGATGGATTAATTAGCTTTAGACAGAGCATGGTTGGTGGCAATAGATGGAAGGCAGAGAAGATGGGTGCAGGTGAGAGTGTGTGTGAGGACATGCTCTTAGGTCATTAGTTGAGACTGGTGATGGATCAGGAGGTCCTGAGTTTAAAGGTGTGAATTAGTCACCTGGGAAAGAAGGAGAATGAGTGAATTAGGGAAACAGAGTTTAAGAGTCTAAGAGTGTTAAGGGCCCACTTGAGATTCTTGGTCAGGATTTTAAAGTGAGACCATCGGTGTGGTTCTGTGTTGTCTCCAGCTACGTTCCCAGCAGACATGGAACAGGGAGAAAGTGGGGATTAACCAGGTTTATGGGTTGGAGTGAAGGGTCAGGGGAATCAAGGGAATATACAAAAGGAAAATCTGCCAGTGCAGTGGCTCATTACTATAATCCCAGCACTTTGGGAGGCCAAGGCAGATCACTAGGTCAAGAGTTCCAGACCAGCCTGGCCAAGATGGTGAAACCCTGTTTCTTACCAACAATACAAAAAATTAGTCCGGCATGGTGGTGGGTACCTGTAATCTCAGCCACTCGGGAGGCTGAGGCAGAGAATTGCTTGAACCCAGGAGGTGGATGTTGCAGTGAGCCGAGATCACACCACTGCACTAAAGCCTGGGTGACAGAGCAAGACTCCATCTCAAAAAAACAAAAAAGGAAGATGATCATGATTGAGGCCAGGCACAGTTGCTCATGCCTATAATCCCAGCACTTTGGGAGGCTGAGGCAGGAGGATCACTTGAACCCAGGAGTTTGAGACCAGCCTGGGCACCGAAATGAGACCCTATCTCTACAAAAATTTAAAAATTAGTCAGGTGTGGTAGCAGGCACCTATAGTCCTAGCTACTCAGGAGGCTCAGGTGGGAGGATTGCTTGAGTCCAGGGTTTGAGGTTACAGTGTGCTATGATTGCACCACTGCACTCCAGCGTGGGCGAGAGAGTGAGACTCCATAACACAACAAAAAGAATTCTCCAGATTTTGTCAACTCTCTTTCCTTCTACTGCCTTTGGGGTAGGGTTAGGAGTTATGCCTTGGCTTTCTGTCCCACGAGGATCTTCTGAGCTTTAACTTCCTTGCCCTCAATTTTTCAACCTATTAGCTGCTTTTGATTTTGTTTTTGTCTTAAAACACACACACACACACACACACACACACACGACCAGGTGTGGTGGCACATGCCTTTAATCCCAGCACTTCGGTAGGCTGAGGCAGGCGGATCACAAAGTCAAAACACTGAGGCCATCCTGGCCAACATAGTGAAACCTCGTGTCTACTAAAAATACAAAAATTAGCTGGGCATGATGGTGCACACCTGTAGTCCCAGCTACTCGGGAGGTTGAGTCAGGAGACTCACTTGAATCCGGGAGGCGGAGGTTGCATTGAGCCGAGATCGCGCCACTGCACTCTAGCCTGGCGACAGAGCAAGACTGGACTGTCTCAAAAACAACAACAACAACAACAAAACCACACAGACAGATATACACGCACAATGATTTTGATTATTTCATTAGGAAAGTGAGATTCTGATAGTGCTTCCTTCCCCTATTTTAGCCCTACAGTAATCAGAATATGTATTTTTTTTTTTTTTAAAGTCCTTTCCAGATGATTCTTGCTATCACCTGTGTTTGGGAACAGTTGTCTTAGATGACCCAGAATTGGGCCCATGGAGAAAGCCATCAGAACTCTCCTTTGGATAATACTTCACAGTTCCTAGATTTACCTGCTGTTATATTTCTGTGATGTTGGGAAATTGCTTTTGTGCTGTAATCGAGAGCACCCGTGTTTCTCTTTGGCTGTCCCATTGTCACTGCGACTGAAATAGATGACCTGAACATTCTTCCTTCCTGCCATTTCTCTCCCAGATGTGTGACAGTGTGGAAGAGGGGGTGGACGGAGACACGGTGAACATGTTTGTGGTTCACCCAACAACCCCTGCGCAGTACTTCCACTTGCTGAGAAGGCAGATGGTCCGGAACTTCAGAAAGCCACTCATTGTTGCTTCTCCTAAGATGTTACTCAGACTCCCTGTAAGTAGAAGAAACTGACGAATAAGTCTTCCTCCTTTTCTCATTGTTTGCACTCCTTTTTTTTTCTATTTTCCATATCTATTATATTTGAATTACAGGAACACCTTTTTAGTTTCAACTGACTTTGCTTTCTTTTTTATTTTTTTTTGAGACAAATTCTCACTCTTGTTGCCCAGGCTGGAGTGCAGTGGTGCGATCTCTGCTCACCGTAACCTCCACCTCCCCGGTTCAAGCAATTCTCCTGCCTCAGCCTCCCGAGTAGCTGGGACTACAGGCGCATGTCACCACACCTGGCCAATTTTTATATTTTTAATTGAGACGGAGTTTCTCCATGTTGGTAACATTGGTCTCGAACTCTAGACCTCAGGTGATCCACCCACTTCAGCCTCCCCAAATGCTGGGATTACAGGTGTAAGCCACTGCACTTGGCCCCCCCCTTTTTTTTTTTTTTTTTTTTTTGTGAGACACAGCCTTGCTCTGTCAGCCAGGCTGGAGTGCATTGGTGCAATCTGGGCTCACTGCAACCTCTGACTCCTGGGTTTAAGGGATTCTCTTGCCTCAGCCTCCCAAGTAGCTGGGATTACATGCAGGAGCACACCACCATGCTCAGCTAATTTTTGTATTTTTAGTAGAGATGGGGTTTCGCCATGATAGCCAGGCTGGTTTCGAACTCCTGGCCTCAAGTGATCAAGCTGCCTTGGCCTCCCAAAGTGCTGGGATTATAGGTATGAGCGACCATGTCTGGCCTTGTTGTTTTAAGCAGTTTTTAGCATTCAGAGGGGAATAGGGAGGTACTCATTCTTGGGGGCGATACTTTAACAGTCCTAAAATCAGTGCCTCCTTAAACTTTTTGCACTAGGTACCTCACTTGACTTACCCTAGCCGGGCCCTGGCAGTCAGTATCTAGTCAATAGCAAGAAATGGATTTCAAGTAGTCTCACCAATAGCAGCTGTTCATTTATGGTTTACTTGTAGTGGGCTACTGGTTCTTTCTTACCCAATGTTTCCCAAACAACCTTATATATTTCGAGGTGACCTCATTAGCCTGGAAGCATCACTGAACATTTAGGAAGAGTTAATGCAATGCCTTTAGCACCAGTTTTCTGATGGGGCTTTTTTTTTTTCATTTTTTTTTTTGAGACAGAGTCTCAGTTTTTGCCTAGGCTAGCATGCAGCAGCATAATCTTGGCTCACCGTAACCTCTGCCTTCTGGGTTTAAGCGAGGCCTCAGCCTCCGGAGTAGTTGGGACTACAGGTGCGCACCACCACACCATTTTTTTTTTTTTTTTTTTTTTTTTTT